AAAAAAAAAAAAATCGCTGTTATTTTTGTGTTTTTATCCCATGGCAGAAACCAGCTCTCATACTAATGCCACAGACATTTATACATTTTTAAAGTTTAACTTCCTTTTCTTCGTCCCTCTCATATAGTCTAGCTATCTCTTTTAGATCTCAGTGGGTTTCCTGAACTCTCCACCTGCAGGTTAGTGAGGTTGATCTGAAACGAGCGGTTTAATTATTCATTTATTTATTCATATTCATGCGTGTTCCCCAGCAGAAAACACAATCACTAAACCACAGCCGAGAAGAGGAAGGAAGCCACACACACTCACACTCAAACTCACACACACACTCACACACTCTCACACACACACACACACACACACTCACACTCTCTCACACTCACACTCACGCACGCACACAAACACACAAACACACACTCACACTCAAACTCACACACACACTCACACACTCTCACACACACACACACACACATGATGATATTCTCACACTCTCTCACACTCACACACACACACATACAGACAAACATAAATAGTGAAGAAAGCCGAATTATTCAATGTCATGGATGTATTTTTACAAAGTAATACACTCTTGTAGAGGAGGGTCAAAATGACCATTTTCAGCTGAGATTCAGAGCCAAATTACAGGAGGATAACTGACTTTAGAAAGACGGCAGCATCATGATGTTACTTTTACTCAGAGATTGGAAGCTCTATTAGTCAAATCTGTTGACTTCAGCAATATTTGCTGCATTATATGCCAATGGTGACAGTTCAAAAATGGGAAAAAGCACTTTTTGAGTTTGTTTGCCCAAAGTTTACATGCCTGTAACTCAAGAACTTATAAAGATATCTTAATATCATTTTAGATTTTGGGTCTTAATAAACCTTTCTTTTGGTATCCTTATTTTTAAGCCCCTATAATGTTCAGCTCCAGAGATGTAGGAATTTCAATGTGGCTATAGAATTAAATTGTACACATTTTCAGAGGCCAAAAACCAAATGTGGGTCACTTTGCATTCAGCTGATCCTCTTTTTCTTTTAGAGAGGAATGTCTGAAGAACAAATAACGTTGAAGCTAGAAATGTATCTTGTTTTCTCTCTATCAAAACAATTGCATTGGACAAACCTGTCTAAGTGTTAAAAATGCACTGAAATGGTCAAGTTAAGGCACATTAACCTGCTCTCAGATAAGATTCTATAAAGGTATATTTGGAAGGAGGGATTTTGCTGATTTTATCAGCTTCTGAAGCATCGTAACTATGTTACCGCACTGAGATCTCTGGAATTGAACCATACAGGGCCTTAAAAATGAAGATTCCAAAAGAAAAGTTTCTTAAGAACCAGAGTCTAAAATTATATTAAGATATCTTTAATAATTCTTGAGTTACATGCACGCTAACTTTGGAAAAAGAACATTTTTGGCACTCGCTGAGGTATGTTGTATGCAATTGTTTTGATAGAGAAAAACAAGCAACATTTCTAGTTTCAGTATTATTTGTTCTTCATGCAATGTTCTTTAAATACAATAAGTATCAGCTGTATACAAAGTGACCAACATTCGGTTTTTGACCACTGAAAATGGGAAAAATTCAACATGAAGCCTTGTTGAGATCCCTGTATCTCTGGGATTGAACCATTCCGGGCCTTAAAA